GTACTGCTGGGGTCAAGAGCACTAAGACTCCAAGGGACTCTTCAGAGCACTGAATCTTACTAGAAACCCAGATTTCGCTTCATTGAGGTTTAAACCAAACACCAAGTGAATTGCCGTTGAGTCACCCTAACTCATGGTGACCCCATGTGTGTCAGAGTGGCACTGTGTCCCAGAGGGTTTTCAGTGGCTGCCATGGAGTTTGAACCACCAACCTTTGGGTTAGCAGCCAAGTGTTTAACCATTTGCACCACCTGGGGGCTCCCTCATTCAGGTCAGAGGGTTACAAATTGTGGTTTGGAGAAACAGATTGCTGTCCTCGGAGCCTTTGGCAGAAATGCTGATGTGGTTTTACGTGGCTCATGGGCAGGGCAGCTCCTCTCCAGCCTTGCAAAGCCCAGAGGTGATGGCAGGGAGATCTCTTTGAGGAGCTTTTCCTCTCTTTGTGAGCCTTTTTTGAGGGGCAGTGGGGTGGGGGCATTACAGATTAAGGTCACAGACAAAGTACTAATCCCAGGGACCAGTGGAAGAGTCTGAGATGCTCCTTTTCCCATTCACTTGCCGTAAGGGCAGCTTGTCTGGTTAAGCTTGCAAACCATGGTGGTTTTTTAGGTTGATTCCCACATTTTTAGATTGATTCTGAGGCAGGGAATGTGACCCGTGTGCGTACGTGATGCTAGGAGTCTCCTGAAGTTTGAGTGCGTGCAGCACCAAGACCGTCAGCTCTGGTCTGGACAGGCTGTACATGTTCCTGTGGAGTAATGGACCCTTTATGCAGACCTGCGAAGGAAGGTTGAGTTGGCAGCACCCACCCATTTTACAGAAAAGAGAGAAAGTGAGGTTGAACACTTGCTCAGGTTAGGATGGCTTGCTGGGAGAGGACAATCCTGCCTCCAACTTAGGCGTTCTGTGGCTTGTGAAACTATGTACACTCAGCCTTCCCAGGACACCGTGGTCAGCATCCCCGGTGCTGGGCAGCCAAGGAGCAGCAGCACAGGGTGCCCCTGCCTGCAAATTGGTCACCGACCTCTGTGGGCACACAGTCGCAATGTATGAAAGAGGGGCCAGACTCAGGAAGGTCTGGAGCCTTGGAAAGCAATGAGAGCCGAGGAGCAGTAGCACAGAACTGTGACAGCCCATGTGAGAGGAGCCACACCTTTGGGAACACCTATCACGCTGTTAAAGCAAGAAGCATTTATTTCCTGATGTTCACCAACACAGACCAGTCTCAGCTGCTTCTCTCACAGGGAAGAAACTGGCACAGCCTTGGTCAGCAGGGACTTCTGGTTGGCTAAATGTGGAAACTCCTTGTTATGGATTGAACTTTGCCCCCCAGAAAGTTATGTGGAAGTCCTAATCCCTGTTCCTGTCAATGTGAATATCTGGGAAGAGGTGGTTTTTTTTGTTATGTTAATGAGGTCATACCAGAATGGCGGACCTAACCTCATCACTTCTGAGAGTTGCCTTACAAAAAGAGCAAGATACACACACACAGGAGGACAGACCCCAAAGAATGCCAAAGAATGGCAAGGAACATGAACTCCAAGGAATGGCAAAGAATGCCAAGGGACTAACTCCTAAGGCTACTGACAAAGAATGACCCTCCCCCCTGGAGCCATTGCACCCCTAAACTATGAGACAAAAAATTACTGCTCTTTCAAGTCACCCGCTGGTGGCACCTCTGTAGGAGACTAAGATGCCCTTGCCATACACCAGCAGTTCCAAGGATCCCAATGTCCCAAGTAACCACTCTTTCTCAAGAATGAATTAGGATGCTGACATCACATGATCACATAGGAACACTGAGCGGCTCTAACTGCATTGTGGATTGTTTTGGCCACTGTGGTAGTTCAGCTTGTGTGTCAACTTGGCTGGGCCTGGTTTTGAGTGGTTGGGCATCTGGATGTAGCTATTTCCCATCATGAGACTGGTGATCAACTCCATGGTAGAATCTGCCACAAACAACTGAGTAGCTGCCTTAGGGATGTGGTCTGCTTCCAAATCAGAATTTGGTACTGAGGGAATGGGGTGCTGCTCTGACAGATACATAAAATGTGGAAACAGGAGTGGAGTACACTCTTGACCTGAGACCCCTGAGCTGAAGCCCCAACAGAGACACTGGCAAAGACATTGGCAAAGAGATGGTAGCAGCAGAGCTGAGAGACTGGCATCAGACAGAGGGACAGGTTGACCAGCCCATGGAGGAGAAAGTTGGATGCCAGTGGGCAGGTGGCTTCCTGTGGAGTGAGTTGTCTTCGGGCATTAATTGGTAGAAGAGATTGGCATGAGCTGGATCAGTTGGCCAGTCCATGGAGCAAGAAAGCTGAGTGTCTTTTGGGCATGAAGATTCCTGACAGAGCGGGTTGCCTTCAGGCATTAATTGGCAGAAGCTGAAAGGAGATGCCGGCTCAGCTGGCTACAAACATGGCACAGGGCCAGGTCTGGATCCTGCATCTGGCTGAGTCTTCATCTCAATGGCCTGCCATGTTGCCTGCCAATCTTGGGACTGTTAATGGGCTTGAATAAGTGGCCTGCCATGTTGCTTGATAATTTGGGGACCATGCCATATTACCTGTAGACCTTGGGTTTGTCAGCCTCAGCAGCCAGCTGCTGCCTGAATTAAGAGAAGCCTCCAGCTTCAGTGGGTTGGGAGCAAGAGGCAGAGCTGAAGCCCAAGGTTGAGGGCCCTTCACCCAGCCCCTATAGCTGGCACTTTGAACTCAGACTTCTAGCCTCCTAAACTGTAAGATAGGAGCTCTGGTAGCATAGTGCCTAAGGTACTTGACTGCTAACCAGAAGTCTGGTGGTTCAATCCCACCAGTCACTCCTTGGAAGGAAGGTTGGGCAATCTACTTCCATAGTGTTACTGCCTCGCCAACCCAAGGAGGGGTTCCTACGAGTCGGGGCTGACTTGATGGCACATAACAACAACAACAAACTGTCAGATAATAAATCCCTGTTTGTTAAAGCTACTCACTTGTGGTATGACTGTTAAGAGTGGCACTAGAGGACCAAAACAGCCACCATCCTGGCAGACTGTCTTCATTGATCCAATAGGACCAGGTAACTGCCAGTCCTCCTTCATGATGCTGGCGCAGCCAGAACGTAAGCTTTCTGAAACTGCAACACATCTATTTTCAAAGCAGCTTTGCCAGAAAGCATGTAACACAGTGACAAAGCAAGGGGACGCCAGCTCAGTAGGCTACGAACATGGCAGTGTCAGTTCCTCGTTTGTGTATGCACTCTAGCCCCTGGACCCAGGCTCTGTCCTTACCATAGAACCAGGCCACCCCAATGGCTTCGATGAACACCCCGAAGAGGATGGACGTGCCGGCCGCAAAGTGATCCAGCAGCGTGAAGACGTAGATACCACCCTGGAAGAGAAGGAGTGCCTCCTGAACTTGGTGTCCGTGTGGCAGTATCCTTGCCATAAAAGGGCTTTGCCTATAATCTAGGATTTGGGGTTTACCTTACAGATGGAACCCATTTTATGTCCATACACATCACTAATATTCAACCCACTTGCAGCTTCTTATGGACACCATTACTACACAGAAATGGAAAGCACCTCTCTGCTCCTTTCCCAGGGTCTCCAGTGTAGTTAGAAATGGAAGTAGCCAAATGCCTCCCTTGGGAATGGAGGTGACCCCCAGTGACCCCACCCCCTATGGCCACCCTTCCTTTGCCACCCAGTCCCATAAATCCAAAAGGGAGGGTGTTTCAGCCAAAGGCCTTCCAAAGGAGCTGTCCGGGTGCTGAAGTAACTGGTACACCAAGCTGTGGGGATTCCCCTGTTGCCTTACATAGTCTTACAGGGCATGGGCTTTTCAGGAGAGGCAGCTTTGTAGGAATGCTGCAGTTTTGTCTGACCTGAGACCATCAACCATGCAGCCCAGCACCAAGTGCTAATGAAGACTTTATTTTCATAAAACCCCTCACTGCCAAAGACCCGCACAGAAGACAGCTGGCAAGTTTACGTACGTTGGTGACACAGAAGAGGGAGAGGAGGAAGGTGGCCAGGACGATGAAGAGGGTGAAGAGCTCCCGGTGCCGATGCAGCAGCTGGAACTCATCGATAAGCCCTGTGATGACCGACTCCATGCCACCCATCTGCAGCCGCACACAGAGCACAGAGAGGGCGCTGGGGAGGGGGCAGGGGAGAGACACCACACTGTGCCCCAGGCTGGGTCAACTTGTGGTCCCATGGCCAGGAGATGGACACAGCTCTTGACATGGCCATCAGAGAGGGTCATCAGAGAGAGAGGACCATCAGAGAGAGAGGACCATCAGAGAGAGAGGACCATCAGAGAGAGAGGGCCGTAAGACAGAGAGGGCCATCAGAGAGAGAGAGCACCGATCAGAGAGAGAGGACTTGGGATGGATGCCTGTCTACTGATGGCAATGAGCACCACCACTCTGAAATAACTGGTATGGCAAAACAGAATGTCCACTCCCACTGTGGTCCAGGATAGGATGAGTGGGAAAGAGACTCATTTCTGCTAGGTTTTTCTAAGCAAAATGTCCCTTCCACAAACAGCTTCCTAGAGTGAACCTGGCCTGGTCACGGGCTATGTTCTCACTGATAAAACTTACTGATGCCTAAATATTATCCTAATGGAATACTGCCCCTGATGCCTATGTGCTGGCCTCCTTTGCCCTGCTCTGTCAAACAAGCTACTCCAGTGCTGTTGACAGGATTCACCTTCCCCAGGTGGGGGGCCCACCCCACCAGGCATGCTATTCAAGGAGCCCCAGAGACCCAAGGTCCTCCCTGTGGGCAGGGACTGAGGCAGATCATGGTTGGGAGCTGAAGGCAGAGGGTGACAACTTGGACACCCTTGGGGAAGTTTCCCAGCAAACATGTGGGAATTGCCCAACATTCCTAAGCAAAGGAAGTCATGATTCACTTTCTTTCCAGGAAGTGAGCCTGGAGCCCAGAAGAGTCAGCAAACAGCATGGGATGGGTGAACAAGGAGCCCACTGCCAACTGTGTGCAAGACCACAGCCTCAGCTGTTGGTCCCTCGACAGTGACAGCAAGAAGGAGCTGAGAAACTCCTGCCGCCCAGGGCTGAGAGCACCCAGTGGTTAGGGCGCCATCGAGGGGGTCCTTCTGTGACTCTGCCCTCAGGACACACCTGTTCCTCATGGGGAAGTTAGGTAGGTTCCAGAGAAGGTGGCAAGGCAGCGTGGCTTGTGTTTTCTACTCTTTGGCCCCATTGCCCTGTTATTCTGTTTGGAGCCTTATTGCTGGACGCTTCTGTGCATGTGTTTAGAATTTGTTGGTGGCTCAGTGCACAGCATATTTTGATGCTCTAGAGTGGCAGATGGAAGGGTCCCTCGGACCTTGTAGCCCCAACTCCAGGAAAGGGGGCTCTCAAACATCCACAGAACTTGCTCCAGTCCCACCAGGGGCTCTGGGCCAACAGGAGGGGTGAACTTAATGCTGACAGTGTCAGGAAGCCTGGGGAGAGGCAAGGAGTGCCAGAGGCTTGCCTGGCCTTGCAATGGCAGTGTCCCCTGAGGAGTGGACTTCGGGGGGCCCGCAGGCATGTGACACGCCAACAGTACTCACAGCACTGTCGATGCCCAGTGTGAGCAGCATGATGAAGAACACCACGGCCCAGGCCGAGGACAGGGGCAGTGTGGCGATGGCTTCAGGGTAGATGATGAAGATCAGCCCGGGCCCTGGAAGCACAACATCACTCAGGCTGCTCCAGCTGTTGCCTCCCACTGACCCCACCTCGTCCCACGGGCCAGTAGCAGCCCTTCCATGTGCCTCTTGTGGGATGGTTCTAGCACCTTCCTATTGTCAGATCTACTCTTCTCCTTGAGGGCCCCCCTTCCTCCACTATGAATTCAGCAGACACTTGGCCCAGAAACCAAGACAGAAACCCACTTGGAGGGCTGTCACCACCCTGGCAACCTTGTTCCTGCAAATGACTCAGTCCAATGCTGGGCTAGGGGGCTGCTGGAGAAGGAAACAGGGAGAGAAATCAAGAGAAGGTGGACACCAGAAGAGACAGGGGAAGGGGCTTCTCGGGCGGTTTGGGCAAGCTACTTCCGTAGAGATACCACTCCGGAAACCCAATGAGGCGTCTCTATGAGTCAAATCGACTTGATGGGATTGAGTTTGTTTGTTTTGGTTTGGTTTTTTGGTACTTGTAAGATGTGGTGTCTTTCTAGTGTGTTTTCCCTGTGAGTATGCTATCTCTATCTGTGTCCCTCTATCTCTGTCTCTACCCCTATCTCTGCACACACACACAGACACACACACACAATTTGGTGAATTTCATTTTGCATTGAGCAAAGAAATACTACAAATACTTGTCTGTGCCAACAAATTTCTTTAAACATTAATTTCAAACAAAAAAAATATATCATGAATAAGAAAGACATAGAGAGGTAAATGGGAGGTACAGACAACAAATATGAGCCCTTTTGCACATATAGTACTGTGTTGTCAGTGAAGGCAAGCATGGGTGTATGGGTGGATAGATGGGTGGACAGGCTGTACGATTAGGTATGTTTATGAAATGGGGAGTGTATCCAGGTACATACATAGAGTTGGCAGACAATGGTCCTACAAGTTTATGTGAATGATCAGAATTCCCAGGTGTATAGTAGAGCTGACAAGGGGCAAGGTTGTGGTCACTGCTTGGTCACAGCCAGCTAC